CCCCACCTATTATATCAACTTACCACGCATCCGGGGCATATTGTTACACTTGACTTTACTTTTACAAAATCTTTTATGTAACCAATTTTGTTCAATATAGAACACATAATTTTGATAAAGTACATATTTATCTTTCACTTTCATTCAGTTTCGATGTATGATTCGGGTTATTTCGCTAGATATTGGACTTTTTCTAAAAATCGTAACAACTAGCCCCGGTCTCCCCTACACGTGCTATATTTTTTGTTCCAAGACTAAATAGTAAGTGTATTGCAGGCTTTCGATATAACGAATAATAATAATAAAAAAAAAACAGTTGAAAAACTATTTCTGGAGATAAGTCGTTACAGTTTTTCGGACATGTAACCCGAAAGAAAATTCTAGTGATTATTATACTGATATGGTGAAACTGCTTCTGGCTTGAATCACTGACTCCATTAAGTAAATCGCTCTCTCCGCCAAGTTATTCAACTCGTGACAATTTGTCTTCACTGTTGTTTTAAAAATCTTGACAACTCAGTAATTCCTCCAGATGGTCCAATCCTCTATAAGATTAAGATCAGGGCTATGGGCAGGTAATTTCAAGAAATCGATATAGTTTTTTTCGGAATCAGGCGTGGGTCATAACTGCTATAGCAGGGAAATTATTTTGCTAGAGCGGCACTTGGGTCTACTGACTGAAACTATGTGTAGTGACTTTAATATCATATGATATTCACGTGTATTTAAAGGTACAGACAAGACACAGATATATCTGGTGTCCAAGGCACACAACACAGCTTCATAATCTTTCATAGGTTGGTCAAATAGTTCATCTTCTGACCGCCAATCCTATTTGATCTTGTTTTTTTAAAACAATGTGAGGCAACCCTGTCTCCAGTTTAGGACTAATTTGAATTCCAGCGTTTGCGAGTTTTACGCACAAGGCAAAATGTACCGAGTATTTTTTGGAGGTGATGTATGGTTTGGTTTGCATGCCTTAACTTTTCCAAATTACCTACATTCATGGAGAACACTTTAAACAGATTTTATAGGTAGTGCCTAAGGTACAGTAATGGCATAGTGAATTTGTCGCAAAGATGATGTTTAAACACTTTTCACAATCCCAACTAGTAAGCATTGGACACTTTTCGATAGTGCCCTTAGCCAAGATGAAGATCTCGATATTGTTGAACAGTTTCGTGCACATCTTGCATGAAAAATACTGTGACTAAACCACATATCATAACAACATCCTTCTTCGCAAATTCGTGAAATTCACGGTACTTTGGTACCTTTCATACTCTTCCACATTATGAACCTGCCTTTCTGGCATGTTTCTGGATTCATTTGCAGGGAATGCTGTGTAGGTCTTATAACATGTCTGAGATGTGTCCAGACACTTAAGTATAAAAAAAGACAAATATCTAAGCATCAACTGCAAGAGGAAAAAATATCAGCGCTAAAAGCTAGTGATGGAACTAACTTATTAGAAATAAATGTTATTAAGTTTAACTTACGTAGGAAAAAAAAACAAATCAAAAAGTAAAACTGTGCCATTTGTAGAGTAGCTTTAAAAACGTATAACCTTGGTGAACGTTAAATGTGACAATATCAACCGAAAGGCTCTGGAAATTGTTTGTTTGTTTTAGCACAAAGCTATACAATGGATTATCTGCAATCTATCCACCTAGGGGAATTGAACCTCGGATTTTACTGTAAGTACTGTTGACCCACCGGGAGACATTCGAACAGAGTAAAGTTTTTAAGTGACTTGTTACTATGTAATATTCTATGGTAAAAAGCTATAACTGTTATTTAATGGGTAGGGTAACTTACAGTAATTTAATGCAATTTGATACTCTTTCATATGATGAATTACAGTTTTTCTACTTAGTTAAAACTGATGATTAGATACTTAGATTATGTACTTCTTTATTAAATAGAATCTGTGTACTGTAGAGCCATAGATATTTTGGAGGTTATCAAATTTGTGTGTTTAAAGATAAAAACGGTTTCCAAACAAGAAAATTGATAAAACAGTCAAAAGGCTTTTACAATTAATTTATTTGATAATGATAATAAATTGTTTTAAGTGGAAGTGTAAAATAACGAATCGAAAAAGTTGAAATGCTAAAAATAAAAGCATGTTAAAGGAAGATAGATACCTGAAGGAGATGTAAACGTAACTTAAATACCAATATATATATATATATATATACATAAATCTTTCTTCTATGTGTGTTTAATAATTTGGAAATGGTTTCAACTTGCACTTATTTTTACCGACTAGAGAATCTGTGGGAAGAGTAGTCAAAATATGTATGTGTGCAATCTTCTCACAGGAATTTGTTTGGTTCCAAAAAAGGTAAATGAAATAAAATTTTCAACTATAAAACTGTTATTTTCTTGTCTCTTTCTAATCGGGACCGGACATAATGGGTACCAAGTTCTGATAAAACAGGCCTGCGATGGTTTTATTGTCTCGAAATTTTTACATGTTCTACAGTAATACCTATACGCCGAATCCGAAAATACTGTCCATTTTTCTCCATCACGTACAGATTTTTCACAAAAT